TAGACAAGCTAAAGGCCATGAAATACCATCAAACCAAATCTGAGGCTTGTCGTGCCAGCATCGAAGCTGCCACTCCACCTCCTCCGCCACCCCCTACTAATGGGATAAGACGTCGTATACCAATACGACCTAGGAAACGGCGAACCACTGGCCACCCTCCCTCTACCACCCAGCCCGCACCAGAAAGCGACCAATCTTCTGACGCTTCCTCACCAACTGTGTCTCCAGTCATCAGGCCCAGACCCCGTCGCAGGAGAACTACCAGATCATCGCAGCTCACCCCAGCTGAGGAACAGTCTCCAGGTGTACAACCCGTATCAACCCAAACCACGGGACCTTCAAACCCCTTGTCTAGGCCGCCTGATCCATCAGGTCAGATCAACAGTGGCAGCCTCTCATCCCCCGGCCCGCATCAGCCAATCCACCACTTCCCACCCACTTCACCTGGGCTCCATCCCACCAACCTGCAACCCCATAGCCAACAGGGCGATGGGGACCTCTCAGGCCAGATGTCCATCCCTGGCCCGCAGAACGGTGAGGCCTACTCTAGCCAGATGCGAATTCCTGGCTTACAGTCAAGCAGCCGGACGTCCATTCCTGGCTTGCAGTCGAACAGCCAGACGTCCATTCCTGGCTGCCCTGCCAATGACATGCACAGCCAGATGTCCATTCCTGGCCAGCATAACAACTGCACTCTCCCTAGCCAGACCTCCGCTCCTGGCCTACAGCATAATGGTGCCCACACAAGCCAGATGTCCACTCCTGGCGGCCACCCCAACGGCGAGGACCCTCCGTCTTGGGTATCTGCGTGGGTAACTCGCTTTGATGCAGTCCTGGACGAGGACATGATGGAGAATATACTTGGTGACTTCATCGCCCTCGCACACCAGATCTGCAACATCACTGCACCACGGCAACGTCACGGCACACGTGCCCCAAGCAGAACACCTTGTGGCCCGCCCCGGTCAGACGCTAGCGAACTTCAATGCCTGTACAAGGCAAATCGTAAGCGTGCTTTTGACCGGATAGTGGGTGGGCCACCCCGTTACTGCACTGTGGACCCACACACAATCTCCAACCACTTCCGCACCATGTACGAGCGACCAGCTCCTGAAGCTATCGTCCCTGTTCCAGCCGACCCATGCCCTCCACCGGAGACCAGTAACCCTTTTGAGGCCCCCTTCACGCCACAGGAGGTGGCTAATAGAATCGCGAAGGGGCACAACACCGCTCCAGGTCCGGACAAAATCCGGTATCTTCACTGGAGGCGGATTGATCCAAAGGGCATAATTCTATCTTCCATCTTCAATGCAGTCTCAAGAACGGGCTATGTCCCCCGCAACTGGAAGGTATCCACAACAATGCTGATTCACAAGAAAGGCGACACGGCCAACCTAAAAAACTGGCGCCCTATCTGCCTTTCAAACACCTTGGGCAAACTGTACACAGCTTGCCTGGCAGATAGGCTACTTCGCTGGTGCTCTGATAACAACCGCCTCTCGCTATCCCAAAAAGGCTTCTTGAATTACCAGGGTTGCCTTGAACATAACTTCGTCGTAAAATCGGTAATTCAGGACGCTAGGAGGTCTTTGAAAGACTGCTGCATAGCTTGGCTAGATATAGCCAACGCTTTTGGCAACATACCCCACCACACGCTGTGGGAGTCCCTCAGATGGCATGGCATCCATCAAGACGCCATATGTGTGCTTCAGCAGCTATATGAGGGCTCTTCCACTTGCGTGCGCACTAGCACGGGGTATACTGACCCGATCCCCATGAACTCGGGAGTCAAACAGGGGTGCCCAATTAGCCCCCTGCTTTTCATCTTGGCACTAGAACCGGCAATTCGTCGGGTTCAAGCTCTAGGAAAAGGCTACTCCCTTCATGGATGCAGTATCGACATATTGGCATACGCTGATGATGTGGCCCTGATTAGTAGCTCGCCAGATGGCTTACAGTCGCAGCTTAACTCCATCTCTGACTGGACAGCATGGGCCGGAATTACCTTCAACTATTCAAAGTGTGGCACCCTCACAGTAGCCGGGAAATCTCATGCCACCAGACCCACTGTCTTCACCATCAACGGTCAGGAGTTACCAGTGCTTGGTGACAGAGATGCTTATAAACATCTTGGTGTCCCCACTGGCTTCACACGCTGTGACACTGAAACTGCTACCATAAATAGTATCATACAGGCCATAGAAAAGTTGGACTCATCAAGGCTTGCCCCATGGCAAAAAATAGATGCCATCAACACTTTTATAATGCAAAAACTGTCGTTTTGTCTAACTAATGGGACAACGCCGAAGAAAATCCTTGACAATATCGACCGAACCACCAAACGCTGTGTGAAGCGCTGGCTAGGTCTGCCCCAGCGAGCCAGCCCAGAATTGCTCTTTCTCTCATACAAACAAGGAGGCACCAACCTCACACCTACCAGCCAGTTGGCAGACATTGCCCAACTATGTCATGCGCTTCACCTCTTCCAATCCAGAGACCCTAACATCACTTGCATAGCACATAGCGCACTCGAGGGAGTAGTGATGAAACGTATCGGCAGGCGGTTCTCTCCCGAAGACCTATGTAGCTATCTCAATGGGTCCATGGAAGATGTGTTCGGTCTTCCTAGCAAAGACATCTCCTCTACCTGGACGAGACTCAGAATGGCCACTCGACGTTTAAAGAAATACCTACACTTTGACTGGACAATTGGTCCTGACAACATTCCAATCATAACTGCCGAGGGCAAATGGTTACGTACCGACAACTGCCATCAAACCCTCACTGGTCTTATGAGGATTTACCACCTTCAGAAACTCATCGCAAAACCAGATCAAGGGAAGGCTTGTGGGGTCACGGCGGCCAGCGAAACCAGTAACCACTTTATCAACAATGGCAGATTCACTCGTTTTGCCAACTGGTTTTTTGTACATCGGGCCAGGCTAAGTGTGGTTGCCCTCCGCGGCCACAAAAGGTTTGGAAACGACACCAAGCGGTGCAGGAGATGCGGATATGCCCGCGAAACCCTGGCCCATGTACTTTGCCACTGCCCCCCAAATTTCCACTTAATCACCTGGCGCCACAATGCTATCTTGCAACGCATCGTCACTGCCTTCCGACCGAAAGATGCGACGGTACTGGTCAACCAGCGTGTACCTGGATTTGAAGTAAACTGTAGACCTGACATGGTGGTAATTCACGAGCCCTCAAAAACAGCCACCATTGTCGACGTGACCGTACCATTTGAAAATGGTCCTATGGCCTTCCAGAACGCCCGTGACGAAAAGCTTCAGAAATACAACGCCTTGGTTCAGCACTTTCGTCAGAAGGGATACAATACACATATAAGCGCCTTCATCATCGGAGCGCTGGGAGGCTACGACCATGCGAACGAGGAGACCCTACAACGACTAAACATCAGCAGGCGATATTCGAAACTTATGAAGCAGCTGATGGTTAGTGATACGATCCGGTGGAGCTGCGACATCTACAGGCGTCATCTGGGATACCAGCGACAGAACGAAGCCCCGCAACACCGACAACGGTAATTTGGCACCTCACCACTCTCATGTAAATACCTTGGCTGGCATACGTGCCCATGTCCGCGTACTCCTTTCTTCTATGTACAGGTCCCTGCGACCTTTTTACTGGCATCTCAGCCCATGTACACGCACCCCATTTGTATATGTTCGCGTACACCTTGGTTGGCATACAAGCCCATGTCCGCGAACATCCACTTCTGTATCCATAACAGTCAGGCACATGAGCCCATGTTCGCGATACTACCCACAACTCTGGGTACCTTGTTCAGTTATCTTGCCTAAATATCTCCTTATTGTAAATAATTTAATTTCTTAATAAAGGCTTTTTAAATCTGTTCTTATCAGCTTGATGTTTTCGTCAACTGATGACCGCCTGAACCATCCTACGAAGCTTCCCGGACTTCGAGCCAGCTCCTGCTCCCCGGNACCACGGACAGGAACACATATCGAGGGGTCTCCAGAAGTAAGTCGAGGATCTTCAGCAGATGTTAATTGGCCTCATTTAAGATGGAATCCTCCAGCGACAACACATTTACAGTACAGTCCAAAATAGTGTCTTCTGAAGAGTGCAGCTGTTGACTTCTTGATGACATTATAGATGTACAGTGTGTAAGAGCCAACCAAGAGAGTGAAGTGTGGTGAAATAGTCAGGTGGAAAGATGCCACAGGCAAAAGACTCTGTCCGAGAGGACAGCTTCTTACTCAGATAGAGAGGAAAAGTTTGGTTGGCTAGTGAGGTGACAGTGACCTACCGGTATAAAGCAGTGTCTTTCTGTCCAAAACAATGTCCCAGCAAAGCGACGCTACAGGCAATGACTGTTGAGACTGTCCTAACGCTACAAGTATCCAACCCTGATGACTTGACCAACAGGTGCACAGGTCTTGAAGCTTGCACCACGCTACATGGATGTAGCCTTATGTGACACCAGAAGTACATGTGTTGGCTGCCTATATGGGCTGCAAGGAGAGGTAGGACAGCCAAGTTATCTTCGCCAGTGGCAACACCAGTAAACTTTAATTAAAAGCATCAGTCTATGGCTAAGATCAAATGTGTAGTATCTGTTCTTATCAGCTTGATGTTTTCGTCAACTGATGACCGCCTGAACCATCCTACGAAGCTTCCCGGACTTCGAGCCAGCTCCTGCTCCCCGGTCTTCAACTGGTAAGTTGTTTTAGCTCTCTCTCTTTTCTCCACTCTTCTCCCTTCCGCCGGAAGAGCGGCCTGCACGGTTTAAACGCACTATGTATTCGCTGCTCAACCGGCAACCTTTCTGTCCCCTCTGCGCCATAGGCCTCCAAGCCTTGCAACGCTCTACTCTCTGTACTCTAGTACGGGGGCACGCTCCTGTACTAGTCTATACAATTCTTACGCCCCTTCTTGGTTGGTTGCACTGCACCCCAGGGGGCGCTTCACCTTCCCTTTCATTATCTTAACTCTACACATTTGATCTTTCCATTATGGAGGCGACTACTATACTAGTCCCGTTACAACCACCGCACGGCTGTCGTCAACGCCTTCCCATCCCCCGCGACTATGCGGATCACGCTGGGCTCGTAAGGCATCTAAAACAAATACATAATACTGCTCTTCACTTCGAATGCCGTGCGTGTGGCTACATCCACGAGAAACTGAAGATGGTGAAATTGCACCAGGCAAGATCGGATGACTGCCGTGCCAGCATCAAGGCCGCAACACCCCCTCCACCGCCTCCAGCAAACCGGAAGAAGACGAGGATCCTGTACGGGCCAATAAAACGACGTACCAAAAATGGTGCAAAGACAACCTCCACGTCAACTGCTGCCAACGACAGCCAATCCTCGGGGGCCTCACTCACCCCGCTTCCGTCTACAACCCCGGCACGGCTCCGAACCAGAAGGACTATGCGATCCCTCCGTGGCCCCAGCAGAAGGAGATCAACGGCGCAGCCCAACCCGGTACAAAGTCAGCCAGCGCCAACCACCGATCACCTGGTACCCAGTCAGGAGAGCCCAACGAGAAGTCTCCCTGCTCCAAACAGCGACCAGTTAGAAGTAGACGGGTCCCCTACTCCTACAGGTAGGCCAACCCCCCACCTCTCTCCTTCTAGGATTGCCACTCCGGACCCACCAGTTCGATCCCAGACTCCGGCACAGCTAGCAACGCCGCCATCACCTCCGCGGCAGCACCAACCGGTAACTCCAGTGGCACCACCTCCAGCACCGCAAACATCGCAGCCACCCCAAGCTCCGATGAACAACTCAAGCAGCGGCCCCCCGGAGTGGGCTCTGGCCTGGGCTTCGAGATTCGAGTCAGCGATAGACGAGGACATACTCGAAGGCGTCCTCAGCGACTTCATTCATCTAACCTATTCTATTTGTGATATACAGGGTCCACGACAACCCCGCAGCACAACCAACAACCACACGCAAGACCATCGCGCTGAGGCAAGCGAAGTCCAGAGACTATACCGTGCCAATCGCAAAAGAGCCGTCGACCGCATCCTGGGCGGAAATTCACGATTCTGCCAGGTCGAAACGGAGAAAGTCTACCGCCATTTTAAATCAATCAATGAACAGTGCGCACCCTCCACCGCCGCTCCAGTACCAGTTGTGCAAGATCCAGCACCAGCCACAGACAACCCGCTCAACATCCCCTTCACGCCTGAGGAGGTCGCCATCCGGATAGCCAAGGGGCACAACACCGCCCCAGGCCCCGACAGGATAAGGTACCTTCACTGGCGAAGGGTCGACCCCACCGGCACCATACTAGCAGCACTATTCAACACAGTGTTAAAAATAGGCTACATTCCCCTCAGTTGGCGTGAGTCTACCACTGTGCTCATCTATAAAAAAGGTGACTGCAATAACCTCAACAACTGGAGGCCTATCTGCCTTTCCAACACCCTTGGTAAGTTGTATACTGCTTGCCTGGCAGATAGGCTCCTTAGATGGTGCTACGCAAATGATCGTATATCCACCTCGCAAAAGGGGTTCCTGCACTACCAGGGGTGCATGGAACACAATTTCCTCTTAAAAACAGTCATACAAGATGCAAGAAGGACTAGAAAGGAATGCCATGTCGCCTGGTTAGACATAGCAAACGCCTTTGGTAGCGTACCACACACTGCCATATGGAAATCCCTCAACTGGCACGGGTTGCACCCTGATGCAATACTAACTTTGCAGCGGCTCTACGAGGGCTCCACTACCAGAGTGCGCACTAGCTCGGGATTTACGGATCCCATATCTATGCTCTCAGGGGTAAGGCAGGGCTGCCCTATCAGCCCCCTGCTATTTATCCTCACCATCGAACCAGCAATAAGACGTCTCCAGCGCCTCGACAAAGGGTACTATATCCACAACCACCCCATTTCAGCGTTAGCGTACGCAGACGATATAGCCCTGATCAGCAGTAGTCACCAAGGGCTCCAGGACCTTCTAGACTCCATCTCTGAATGGGCCGACTGGGCGAATATCCGCTTTAACCACTCTAAATGCGGGACTCTATCAGTTCTCGGTAAGTCACACACAACTGGCACTAACGACTTTTTTATTAAACAGAACAGCCTCCCCCGCCTTGGCAACGATGATGCTTACAAGCATCTAGGTGTACCAACCGGATTTTCCAGGTGTGACACCGAAGCCGCTACAACAGATGGAGTGATACAGGACATCAACAAACTGGACGCATCACATCTTGCCCCATGGCAAAAAGTTGATGCCCTGAATACCTTCATTTTGCCACGTCTTTCCTTCTGCTTGGCCACCGGAACTACACCGAAGAAGACGTTGGACAAGATAGACAGGACACTGAAGCGGCACGTCAAAAAATGGCTCGGGCTGCCACAAAGGGCCAGCGCAGAAATACTACATCTATCATACAAACAAGGGGGTACAAACATCACCCCAGCCAGCCTCATCGCGGACATTGCCCAGGTATGCCACGCAGTCTATCTTTTTAACTCTAGAGATGAACATATTACAGACATAGCACTAGGCGCTTTGAGGGATGTCGTCACAGCAAGAATCATGAGAACCCCTAGCGACGAAGAACTGTGCCACTACCTCGACGGATCCATGGATGGAGACCTGGGGAATCCATCCAAAGATATTACATCGATGTGGACCCGCCTGAGGATGGCAACCAGAAGACTGAAGAAAAAGATCAACATCCACTGGGCCGTGGGACCGAACGACACCCCAACCCTAGCCATAGGAGATATCTTCGTCCGAGTCAAGGGATGCCAAAGTGTACTGGTAAGTTTAATGAGGGACCACCATCTTCGTAAACTCCTCGCAAAGCCAGATCAGGGAAAGGTGTTCCAGGTTACTGCCAGCAATAAAGCAAGTAACCATTTTATGAACAATGGACGCTTCACCCGCTTCACTGACTGGCGCTTTATCCACAAAGCGAGGCTCAGCGTTGTCGCACTTACAGGCCACAAGCGATTCGGTAACGAATCCAAGACTTGCCGTCGCTGTGGATTTGCACGCGAAACGCTGTCTCACGTCCTCTGTCATTGCCCTCCTAACTTCCGGCTCATCACCCAGCGACACAACGCGGTGCTGAACAGAATTGTCGCCGCATTCCAACCACGAGGTGCGACTGTCCTGGTAAACCAACGCGTCCCTGGGTTTGAAGAGAACTGCCGCCCGGACTTGACTGTGATCCACAAGGAGTCAAAAACAGACTCAGTCATAGACGTAACTACACCATTCGAGAACGGCCAGCAAGCCTTCGATGCAGCCCGTGAAGAAAAAGAGAGAAAATACAGCAATCTAGTACATCTTCGCAACAGAGGCTACAACACCCACTTTGCCACGTTTATAATAGGAGCCCTAGGAGGATACGACTCGCTCAACGAGGCCACCCTCCAGCGACTTGGAATCGGTAGGCGCTACTCAGCCCTAATGAAAAAGCTAATGGTGAGTGATGTCATTAGAATAAGTAACGACATCTACCGGCAGCACTTAGGAGCAAGACAACAACAGCACTATCAGCCACCGACACGCACCAGCAACAACCACAGTCGTTCTCCAATGCATAATCAGGACAACATGTAAACTTCTTATCTGAGCACAAACGCGTTCATGTACTCACTCTAAGCAGGCAAACTTGTGCCCATGGTCGCGAATTACTAACTCACCGCGTTACTTTGTATTACTCCAGGTTGGCAAATTACAAAGCCCATGTCGCGGTATCCGTACACTTGTATATACATCATTGTCAGGCAAACTTGTGCCCATGGTCGCGAAATCTACTACTAGTGGCAATTCCAAAGCCCATGTCGCGATAATTACTTGTAAATATTCTACTCTATGCTTGATCTTCATGCCTATACCTCCCTGTAATATATTTTATTCAATTTATAATAAAGGCTTTTTAAATCTGTTCTTATCAGCTTGATTAATATGCTTAATTTTGCTGTATTTTTCAGGTTGCCAACCGGACTCCGAGCCGCCAGCTCCCCGGCCCTTGGGTAAGTTGCTACAACTGTCTCTGTCCTACTCTCTTCTCTCGGAAGAGCGGCCTGCACAGTTTAAATGCACCGTGTATTCGCTGCTCGACCGGCAACACTGTTCCTATCGGCGCCGTTCGTGGTAGCCATTCGGTGCTCTGCGCGAGCATCCTTTCCTAACGTATAGCTCCGCTATACGCTACTTTCTTCCCCTTCTCGCCTCCCCTTGGTAGGCTGCTTCGGCACCCCAGGAGGCTTTTCCGCCCCTTTCCCCCTACTTTCCTGCTGCACATTTGATCAATGGCTGCATCGAGTAAATCGCCTGAAGTCACATTACTCGTGCCACTCAGGCCCCCCTACCATTGCCCTCCTTGCCTCCCTGTTTACAGGGACTATGTTGACCATGGGGGTCTCTCTCGCCACCTCCGCCGGATCCATGGCAGTCACCTCACTTTCGAATGCCGTGTCTGCGGGCTAAGGTCTGACAAGCTAAAGGAGGTTAAGCTACACCAAGCCCGTTCCACAGAGTGCTCGGACATGCTTCCATCTATGTCCCCAGAGCACTCTGTGAGAGACCCGAAGCAGCGTGGCAAAATCCACAATGGCGTCAGGAAGTCAAAACGGCGAGAACAATCCATCCGTGACGAGGCCTACTTAGCCTACGTGGCTTCGCAAACTAGCCAAGGCAGCGAGACGGGTAACTGTCAGCCCCAGCCTGTCACTCCTCAGGCCAGGCCTACCCCCAGCTGCCCCGCCACTCCTAGTACCAGTGCTTCGGCACCTGATGCACAGGAGCAGCGCCTGTCACCGGCCAAGACAACGATCGACGCCTCCACCCCACCTTTGGTGAGAAGGCCACGTCGGCGTAGGCGCCGCCCGGCGAGCGACTCTAGCCATACTAGTAGTCCTACCTCGCCTGCCAACGCCTCGATCGTATCTGCCAACACCTCTGACTCAGCAACTGCTGCCCCTGTTGCAGAAATTCTAATTTGTGTCCTACATGTCTGGTAGAGGACGGCACTAAACATTATATTTATGATTGCATAAAAATCGAACAAGAGAGATTAGAACTTCGACTTTTACTTGAGGAACATGGCATTACATGGCCTTGTAGGTTATCAGACATTTGGATTACTTGTGACATTTACAACGCTTTTAAAAGACTAGCTAATAAAGTTAACTTTGTTACTCAACATGCTATCTATGCTTAGTTACTTTGGCATTCAACTTAAACTGTACATTTTGCAACTGATTTGTAATTATTGGCTATGTTACTTGATAGATGTTTAAAATGTCTGTGATATTGTATTGTTTTTATTAGATGTTCAGGCTGATATTGTATTGCTTTTATAAGATGTTCAGGCTGATATTAGGCTTGTTATTCAATACTTTGCTGTCACTTTGTCTAACATGTTCTATGTTTGTTGTCGGTGATGGCTGATGGCATACATCCGAATAAATGCTGTTTTCTGTGCTAAATTAATTGTATATATGCTCAACTGAATTATTTTGCCAGTCTTTTGACCACATAGGATGGATTGTTTGAGTGATACTTCATTCGACATAATTCATTTGATATGTTGGGGTTTTTTTTTTCTTTTCTTTTCTTTCCTCTCACAAACCTTTGCACCACATATGTGCATACACATTCTTTAGACTTTCGAAGAAATCAGCCGTAATTTGATATGATGGCTGATATGAACTTGTGTTAATCTGTGCTTGTGACTATTATTAGAAATACAAAATTATTATTCTACAAGTGCCTTGTGCTACATACACATCTGCCAGAAATTCAACCTGACAGCGGCTGAACTTTTGTCGGTTGAAATGGATTTGTGTAATGTGTCTTGTTTTCACCGTTGGATGATGTGCACTACCTTAGTTTGGCTTCCCAAGAAGAATCAACCAAGACATTAGTGAATCCTGTTGGTTGAAATGAACTTGTTTGAAATTTGCCTACTTCTACTGCAAGTAATGCAAATCAAGTCTCTACATGCATCCTGTGCATATTTCAGTCGTATCAAGAACTCAACTGGCAGCTAAAGGACTTTATCGGTTGATATGGACTTGTGTGAAATTTGCCTGCTCTTTCTGCAAGCAACGCAAATCAATTACAGTAATTCTATGCATCCTGTGCATCTTTTAGATAAATCGGGTACTTCAATTACAGTTACAGGATTTTGCTAGCTGATTTGGACATAGATTATGGATGGAGATTATCATTGATTGAAGTAAAACTTTTGTGCAGCTTGCATTTTTGATGTAATGTACTCTAACTTGTTTAGTATATTTATTATTATTAATATTTGTTATTTTAATTACTGTTTAATTATTATTTAACTTCATTAATTAATTTTGTTCTATTGTATAATATATTTATAATTTTATTAATTAACTCTGTGTTACTTGCATAATATATACTATATATGATTGTTCTGCATATTATGATTACTCATTTTATTATACATGTATTAAATGTTAATTGTGGGGACGAATTGTTTGCTACATTGAATGTAAGATATATATATATATATACCATAATGCCTAAATACGTGTATCGTGTTAAAATATCTTATTCATTATTGATATAATATTTCATTAACAATTGTATATGCAGTGACCTGTGTGTTATTGATACACTTGTCTATTCTATTCATTATATTGTTGATAAACATATTATTTAGTTATGGTATTAATTACACATTTATTTAATCTGTACATGATATTTAATTATTGCATATTATAACATGTGCTCTATATATTGAATGTACAAAAATAATACAACTCAACTAATAATAATATGGAATGCACCTTCTACCATTATTGAATATGTATATTTTCTTTAAATGCTGTTATTCATTTTGAAAATGATCATACTTTATTATTGATATAATTCTTTGTTTTTAAATAATTGTATGTTGGTTAATCTTAATCTATTATGTGATTACTCTATATATTATTACTCTGTTATTGTTACTCTGTTACTACTATATATGTACTTAATATAACTACTTCATATGACCTGATACAACATGAAAAATTACCTCTGTAAATATTATAAATATCCTCACTATCATAATATTGAATGTATTTATCCTTGTAAAAATTGTTTGTAAAATTATGTTGATGTACTTTACTCCCGGTAATGCTATTATGCGGGGCCGGGATATGTGTGTTCACACCTTAATAAAATAACGATTGATTGATTGAAATAACGATTGCCCCTGTTGCAGCTACGCCCGCATTGGGCTCTCCTCCTGCTGACGTCTCCGAGCCCCAGCCACCATCCCAACCGGCTGTCGACATGCATCAGTCGGGTGTTTCCTCATCCCGGCCTCCCACCAACGACTCCACCTCTGCCCCCCCCTCCGTGGGTCATTGCTTGGCGTGACCGTTTCGACTGTGCTGTCGATGAGGACATGCTCGAGGCAATGGTTGAAGATCTTTCCAACCTCGCTCGCAGCATGATCCCTCAGCAGCATGGGCAGCAACATCGCCCTAGAAGTACCAGGCAACCACAGGCCAGCAACCCCCGTGGCACTAGTAGTGCTGCTGAGGCAAGCCGTATACAGCGCTTATACCGCGCTAACAAGCATAAGGCCTTTCAGGAGGTTACCCGCGGTGCCAATTGCTTCTGCAGAATCAGTAACTCCACCATCACTGATCACTTCTCTGGCACCAGCAGCCCTCAACAAAAAGACCAAGAACCTCTCCTCAGCCTCCTACCTCCTGCTCTACAGCCGGCTACGGACAATCCCCTATGTGGTTCGTTCACGCCGGCTGAAGTGGCCAAACGCCTCAGTAAATGCCACAACACTGCGCCGGGTCCGGATGGGATCCGCTACTATATATGGCGCCGTTTAGACCCTCAGGGTCACATTCTCTCGGCAGTATTCAACGCCGTCCAACGCATTGGCCATGTTCCCAGCGCATGGAAGGTTTCTAACACCATCCTCCTACATAAAAAAGGCGACCAGAATGACATCCGCAATTGGAGGTCCATTGCGCTGGCGAACACCCTCGGGAAGATATACTCCTCCTGCTTGGCCAGCCGCCTTCTCTGCTGGTGCGAGGAAAACGGCACCATTTCCACAGCACAGAAGGGGTTTATGCGTTTTGAGGGCTGCACGGATCACTCCTTCATCCTCCAGTCAATCATCCAAAACGCCCGTTGGAAGAACAGCGAATGCCACGTCGCATGGCTGGACCTCCGTAATGCTTTTGGATCGGTCCCGCACTCCACCATCTTTACCTGCCTCAAATGGTGCGGCCTATGTCCCGCCTCCATCGATTGCATTCGGGACCTCCTGGAAGGATGCCACACCCGCATCCGCGGTCACACGGGTTTCACGGATCCCATCCCAGTCTTGACGGGGGTGAAGCAGGGCTGCCCCCTCAGCCCTGTTCTCTTCAACCTTGTCATAGAACCCGTGCTCCGCCTGATCAACAATCTTCAGCACGGCTATCGTCTGCACGACCAAAACCTCTCCATCCTCGCCTATGCAGACGACATCACCATTATCAGTAGATCGGCTGCTGGTCTCCAGGCACAACTCGATCTTCTGTCGTCATGGGCCCAATGCAGTGGCCTCTCGTTTAACCCAT